TCTATGAAAATGGAAGCTTTCTTTCCAGCTGTCTTCCTTTCTGATCCTTTGCCAGAATTGCCTTTAATGTCCATATTTCTATCAATAGTCTCTTCACAATTGGCTTTTTCTAGTATGAACCTGAAACTCTTCTAGCCTTTACCCATCACCAGTTTCCCAAGCCACTTCCCCGTGTTTAGGTATTTGTTGTTGCAGCATCCCACGTCTGGGTACCAAAACCTGTTTTAGTCAGCTTGGGCAGCCATAACAAAATACTACAGACTGGTGGCTTAAACGGTAGACATTTATTTTCTAACAATTCTACTGGCTGGAAGTCTAAAATCCAAGTTGCCAGCATAGTCAGTTTCTGGTGAGGATCTCTTCCTGGCTTAAATTATTTCACAGACACCAGGCAGATAACCATATCCATTCTTTCTTGTATTCGTTAATAATCAGAGCTGAAAGTATAGGGCTCTAAATTTACACTTCAGCAAATTGTTCTGTCATTAAGTATTCACCTCAAAATGACCAAACTGTACTATGCTCTAAATTTTAGAAACTTGTAGCTTGGTTCTGGTCCCTAGTCTTTGTTCTGTCTAGTTAATAGATTCATCAATACAACGGTTCCAAAGACTGTCTATATGCAGTAAACTTCCAATTTTACATCTCCAGCCTGACCTTTTTTCTGAAATTCAAATGTGTGTAGCCACATTTTCATTTGAGGTCTCCATTTAGAGCTCTAATAGGTCTTTCACCATAAACACTTCCAAGACACAGGAATAAACATTGTGCTCCTTAAGCCTGTTATCCCTTCCAGTTCTTCCCAGTTCAATAACTGACACTACCATTTACTCAAATCAACATTCTAAGAGTGGCACTTGCTACATTTCCTTCATCTCTACAAATCCAAAGTTACCTGTGAGTCACGTCACCTACATATTCAATAATTCATTCTCCATACTCCTTACCATGACTTGAGGACCCACTCAGTGACCACCTCTGACCTCTGTTCACCTCTTCTGCTGTTCTCCTTTGCTGTTCCAACCACTCTGGTCTCTTTTCCCATCAAGCAGCTAAACTCTGCTGATTTAAGACATTTACCTTATTGGCCTCAGTCTCGGAAATGCCTGTTCTTTGATTTTTCTTCTGGTGAGCTTATTTTCACTCATCAGGTCTTATCTCTGTTTCAGATAAGCCTATCTAAAATAAACCTACCTAAATGGATTAAAAATTAGTTTGTGTGTGTATGTGTTTGGAAATGGTGGTGGGAGAGTGTCTTTACTAAGTGAGGAGGAAACACAAAAGCCATTATAGGAAATGACACAAACTAGATAGGTCCAAAAGTGGCCTAAGACAGAATATATGTAAAGAGAGTTGTAGAAAGAGCAATAAATTGGGATAAAGGATTTCCAAAACATATACAGGGTTAGTAACCTCAATTTACAAGGACGAACTGGAAACGTTAGTAAAAAGACAAACAACATAATATAAAAACTGATTAAATGGTATTTTATATCATGTATTAAATTCAAATGGCCAATACATATGAAAAGAAACAAAAAACCTTTCTAGTAATTCAAAATTATACATATTAATACAAAAAAGGGATACTATTTTTGTTGTTGTTGTTGTTGTGAGACAGAGTCTTGCTCAGCTACCCAGGCTGGAGTACAGTGCAACCTCCACCACCCCCCCGCCCCGGGTTCAAGCGATTCTCCTGCCTCAGCCTCCCGAGTAGCTGGGACTACAGGCGCCTACTACCATGCTCAGATAATTTTTGTATTTTTAGTAGAGATGGGGTTTTACCATGTTGGTTGGCCAGGATGGTCTCGATCTCTTGACCTTGTGATCCGCCCGCCTCGGCCTCCCAAAGTGCTGGGATTACAGGCGTGAACCACCACACCAAGCCTAATTTTTGTATTACTAGTAGAGACAGGGTTTCACCATGTTGGCCAGGCTAGTGTCAAACTCCTTCTGACCTCAGATGATCCACCCACTTCAGGCTCCCAAAGTGCTGGAATTACAGGCGTGAGCCACCGCACCTAGCCTGGGATACCATTTCTTACCTATGAATAGACAACCACTAAAGCCAGTAATACTCAGGACTGTGAAGGATGAGGAAGAATTGTCATTGTCATACAATTTTTCAGAAGTTTTCCTGGCAATGTCTATTAAATTTTATTAATAGACATTTGGAAGGGGAGAGTGTCAACAATAGAATAAAGGCCCCACTAGGTAAGGTTACATATGTAAGGTCTTTTTCAAAATTGTCACGAGAGGTCGGGTGCAGTGACTCATGCCTGTAATTCTAGCATTTTGGGAGGCTGAGGCGAGTGGATCACTTGAGGTCAGGGGTTTGAGACCCTCCTGGCCAACATGGTGAAACCCTATCTCTACTAAAAATACAGAAATTAGCCAGGCATGGTGGCACATGCCTGTAATCCCAGCTACTCGGTAGGCTGAGGCAGGAGAATAGCTTGAACCCAGGAGGCAGAGGTTACAGTGAGCCGAGATTGCGCCACTGCACTCCGGCCTGGGCAACAGAGTGAGACTCCATCTGAAAACAAAACAAAAAAAAACAAATAAAAACTGTTAAAAAAAAAAAAAGAAACTAATTATACATGTAAAACATTTAAGTAACTATAAATAAGAGTACTGTTGACATAGTGAGACATCCATTTATACTATGGAATGTTACACAGCTACCCACAACAATAATCCGGTGAAACAAAATCACACACACAACTGATGAGAGTAAATAGAGAACTGTATGGAAGAAAACCTATCACATTAATTAGAGAGCTGAAACTAAGTTGGTGCAAAAGTAGTTGTGGTTCTTACCATTACTTTCACGGGCAAAAACTGCAATTACGTTTGTACCAACCTAATAGAATGGGGTGAGGAGAGGTTAACCTTTATAAACGTCTCTGTGTGAACTGTTAAAATGAGCAAGCATATTTTTTTAAAGTATAAAGAGAAACAAAAAAGTAAGCTTTCTCCATTTCCCACCTCAAATTATGTTCTATCACTCATTCTGTTTAGATTCTTTCAAATGCAGTTTGAAGTTTTATCAGATTCCTTGTTGTTTGCCTCTTTCCATTAAACCTAGCTCCACAAAGTAGGGACCTGATCTAGTCATTCACTGTTACATCCCAGCATCTAGCAGAGGGCCTGACGCTTAGTGGGAACCCAAGTATCTGGTAAATAAACCAGAGAATAGATACTTTTTAGCCCAGAAATAATTTCTATATAAAAATGATTATATTTCAGATATGCACAGAGTGATTATCTGAATTTCTGTATAAAAATGTCTTCCTATAAATCATTGTTAATACATTACCTACTCACCTTACCCAGCTACTAGGAACACAGTGAAGTTTAGAATTACACCCCATTTTTCCACACTCTTACCATTTTCCCAGTTTCTACACTAACCTTTCCAGACATCATGTATACTGATAATTCTAAGTTGTCTAGATCGTTAATTCTTTTAAGGGCCAGTTCTCTGCTAGCTGGCATCATGCATAAAATAATTCTCTTTAATATACTCTGGGTCTAGGGTTAATAGATGTTTGCTTAAAATCATGGAAAGAAAATGGTCACACAACTGGTGGGTGTGATCAAATTTGTGCTGTTTCATCCACTTAATGTTTGCTTTGTGATAATGGAACCTCCCAGCTTTTATTTTCCTTCCTTCCTTCCTTCCTTCCTTCCTTCCTCCCTCCCTCCCTCCCTTCCTCCCTTCCTTTCTTTCTTGACAGAGTTTAGCTCTGTTGCCCAGGCTGGAGTGCAGTGGCGCGATCTCAGCTCACTGCAACCTCTGCCTCCCGGGTTCAAGCGATTCTCCTGCCTCAGCCTCCCAATTAGCTAGGATTACAGGTGCGTGCTGTCACACCTGGCTAGTTTTTGTATTTTTAGTAGATGGAGTTTCAGATGTTGGCCAGGCTGGTCTCCAACACCGGGCCTCAAGTGATCCGCCTGCCTTAGCCTCCCAAATAGCTGGGTTTACAGGCCTCAGCCACTGTGCCCGACCCCAGCTTCTATATTCTAATGCTGAGATTATTCAGTTAACACTCTTACCTACTAGGATAAGTTTGTTGAAGAATTTTACCTTACCTTATACCCTATACCTTCACATCTACCTGTACCCTGGTCCTTCACATCCTTTCCATATAATAGATCTTGTAAATACAGGGGGAAAAAACCCAGAATGATTATGTTGACAACAAAACATTTTTGTGCAAAAATGAAGTAGTCACTATCTAAGCTACAGAGACTTAGGATTGTATTCCTGAGTTATGTGTCATTTTAGCCATCACTAGATCTTAAATCCCAGTTGCTAAATTGAAGGGAGATACATTACTCTTTTTAGAGCTTTGCTCTCTGATACAGTAGCCATTAGCCACATGTGATATTTTAAATTTAAATAATTAAATCAAAAATTCAGTTTCTCGGTCTCACCACATTTCAAGTTACTGGTGTCTACTGTATTGGATACACACACATAAAACATGTCTATCATCACAGAAAATTCTATTGGATTGCACTGGGCTGTGTACATTTTGTGTCCCTGGGCTAATAAGTTCAAGTGCACTTAACTAGCCTCCTCCAGGTGGAATCAGAGGATAAATTTACCATATAAAATACAGGACACCCAATTATATTTCAATTTCAAACAGGCAACAAATAATGGCTTAAGTATGCCCCTCGCTGCACACTCAAATACTACATAAGACATCCTATACATATATGCGCTGTATATCTGAAATTCAGATTTAACTGGACATTCAGTACTTTTAATGTGCCAAATCTGTCAACCGTATCTGAAGAGCAACATTGAAGTGTCTAGCCTGGATAGGTCCTTTTACACCACAGGGAGTTATTTGAGAACTTGAGAAGGGCTGGTACCTGTAAAGAAGCTAACTCATTATGAAGAAAAGGATCTGTTAGTTTTTCTGTATGTGTAAGGAAGGCCAAGAAGGAGGTTTCCAGATATATTTACTTTTTCTTCTCTCTCTTAGGTTGCAAAAACTTCTCATTTCAGAGAGATGCCAGGATCCTGAGTGCCTGCCAAACCTACCAATTCTAAGGAATAAGTGGATGGATGGTGTCAATGTTCCTACATCACTGATTGATTCTGCATCCGCAAATTTTTTTATTAAAAACATTCTACATCGTGTGTGGGGGGGGATAAGGAGGGTAAAATGAAGAGAAAGAAATTATTGAGGGGAAGTTCTTCTGAGTACAAAATGTGTTTAATTTTTAAAATAAGTATTACATTCACAGGGTTCAAACGATTTGAAGTAAAAAGATAAATAGAAAGAATCCACCCCTCAACTTAACCCCAGGTGATCACTTTTCTTTTTCTTGTGTATCTGCCCAGTATTCATTCCTGCTAATATCAGTCAATAATGAATGATACGTGTTACCCACTTTTTTCATCCTTGCCCAGATATCAGACTGTATACACTGTTCTGCACTTGCCCTTTTCATAACAATCTATCTTGGAGAACTTTCCCTGTGAGAACATACAGAGCTTCCTGTACATAGTTGCATGTATTGCGTTATGCAAATGCATTATATTTTATGTAACCTGTCCACTGTTGGTAGGCACTTGAGTTTTTTTAGTCTTTTGCTATCAAACAGTTCTGGGATGATTAACCCTGATTTACTGCAAAATTGAAATTGCTGTGCTATTCTGCTGGAATAGTGGTAAGTGAACAGGAAATTCCAGTCACTCTTGGGCTAGACTCAAGGTTCTTCTTAAAAATTACATGGCCATCACCAAGTTAGTTGTTTTGAACCTTAATTTCTTCACCTCTAAAATGGAGGTAATATTTACCTTAATAGACTATGAGAATGAAGATTATGTATGTGAATTGTTTGATGCTCTAAAGAACACCACAAATAAAATTATTTTATTTTGAAATTAAATTTAATTTTAATTGTACTGTGTGTAATTTCTTAATTTTGAAATAATTTTATTTGTAATGTGCATAATCTTATTTAATGTATAATGTATATACTACATTGTAATAGAAGATTTCCCAAATTCCAGCCTGGCATGAGGTAATAAAAGGTAATGCAAAGGGAGAGGAAGGCATGTGTCATTAATTTTCTGCCTAGGTTACCTCCCTGGTTAAATTGCTATTTCCTGCCTTCCTTGCATAGAGATTAGGAAACATCCTCCTGACCTGCCTGCCCTCTTTTGCCTCCTTTTTCATTTGCCTTGTCAAAGTCTTTCAAAACTTGTCAAGGTCTGGTTTTAAGACTGTTACTCTTACAAAATCTGTGTGTATTGGTGGCTAAGGGCCTGTATGGTCCACTGCTGTATTCCAGCTCCCAGCATGGTGCCTGACGCTGCATGGCAAATAGTAGTCACTCGAGAAATGGCTGATGAATTCATGAGGCCTACTCTGGATGGAAATTTCAATTCTGGCCCTGAATTTTCAGGAGCTGACAAGAGAACCACCTTAATATCATAGGCTGAGTTGGAAGAAGGGAACACACAATTTATTCTTAAGAAATACCTTGCCAGTTACTGTGGCTTAGGCCAGTAATCCTAGCATTTGGGGAAGCCAAGTTGAGCAGATGGCTTGAACCCAGGATTTCGAGACCAGCCTGGATAACATGACAAAACCCCATCTCTACAAAATATGTAAAATTTAACTCTGCGTGGTGGGCCTGCACTTCTGGTCCCAGCTACTCCAGGGCTGGGGTGGGAGGATTGCTTGAGCCCTGAAGGTCATGGCTGCAGTGAGCTATGATTGCAGCACTACACTCCAGCTCTGGGCAATAGAGCGAGACCCTGTTTCAAAAAAAAAACAAAAATGCCTATAAAAAGTGGGTTTTGTGTGTCTACACACGCACATTATCTGAGATTGCTGGCTTCCACCTGCAGAAAATGAAGTAACTGGGGATCTTACACCTAAGTACTAACAGATTCTGGTTGCAATTTGCCTCCATGGCTAAATGAAGCTTGTAGAAGAGTCAGCCTGGTAGACATGGAATGTTGAATGGTGGTGGAGTGTACCCACTCACCTCTCACCAAGTTAGCTCCAGGTTCAGAAGCAGCAGTCCCTGTGGACGGCATGCGTGTTTGTGACTCAGCTGAGCCACCTTTCCAAACAGGGATGCCCCCTACTCTGCCCATTCTGCTTTTAGTTCAACTTGACTTCCTACCTTCAGTGAGGACATGGAGAATTCATCCCAACTGGGTACCTGAGCAAACTTGGCAGAGCAAAGAGAAATGAGGAAGGCCCTAGGTAGATTGACCCTGGGGAAGGAAACAATCAATGAAAGACCACAGAAAGAATCTTCCATTTCCTTTAGCACAGTCCCTTCAGATTGAGGATGAAGAGGCTGGGGCTCTGAATTGGTTGGCTTTAGGTATGGTCACAAAAACAAATCAATGGCTTTTCCACATCCACACACTGAGTTATATTTCTGCCTTTGGTATTGTGATTTTCTCTGATCTCCAATTAAAGATCTATGTGTGATTTTAAAGCCTCCCTTCCTTTCTACTCTGCAGTCAGTGTAACATTGGTAGTTTGAAACTGGACATAATGGCAGCATTTACACCATGGGAACTAGCATATGCTAGGGGTTTTTTTTGTTCCTCAAGAGTCAGTAAACATATATCAGCACACCACTGCCTTAAATATTCGCTGCTCCTTCCTGGTAAGGATATCCTTATCTCTCTCTCTCTCCACTCCCCAACTCCATCCAGCACATGCACATTGGGTCACTCTATTGTGCTGTTTTTCTACCCAGAAGGGCCCTATCTCAAATGACCCCTACACTTCTGGTCTCATTTAAGTTCCATACACTTTCCTATGATCTGTACCCACTGCATATATTTCCATATTGTTTGCCACCTCCCCTGTTTTCGTGTCTGCTCTCCAAATTTTACGAGGAAGCCTAGAACACTCTTTTTGCAGATACCCGCTTAAATGTCACCTCAGTGAGGCCCTCCATTGACCATTTTCCCATTCCCAGAGGGGCAGGGAGGCCTTCTGAGAAAGTGACCATCATCTGGTGGATGGTGATGCTGGCAATGTGAACTGTCAGCAACAGCATAGCTAGGAAAGCAGTGAGCAGAGGCACTGTGAAGACACAAGCAGAGCTCTTCAACCAATGACCCCAGGGACTTTCTCTGGGTTGCCTGGCAATGAACTGGGAACAATGGCTGCTTCTTTTCCTGTGGGAGGATCAGCCAATGTTCCCAGGTGCTGGAAGGCTGGCTTTCTCAGCTGACACCCACACAGAAAATGTTTATTCTCTTTATCAAGTCTGCTCTCATGCTTTCTCTATGAAAAGGAACAGCCCGGGCTGTGTGTGGGTCCCTTTCTGGAGCACAGCCTCTCTGTGCATCAGGCTACCCCCTTCCTGGGCTCAGGGCTCTGTAGGCTGCAGGAGAACAAGAACTGTGTATCTGCAACCCTCTGCCCACTAGTTCCAGCTGGCACAAGCAACACTGTACCTGCTGACAAGACAGGCAGAAGCCACGAGAGGAATTAAATTACCTCCGAAGGTGGTAGACAGTGGAAATGAGTGGATATAGGCTTTCATTAAGGGACTAGGATTTAACTTCTTAATCATTATTCAAATCACTTTGTATCTCATCTTCTCAAATGCTCTTAATGAAAGTCACAAACCAATAGCTCTCTGTAATTTTCCATTTATGCCCCCCTTTCTGTTGTCCATTCTTTGCCCACTATCTCTCTTTCCTCTCTATTTAACATTAGCTATTTTTAAAGGAGCAAAAGAAACTTTTCTAAACTTTTGCACTGGGTAGTGTTTAAATATGCGTAGGCCCTACTGCCACATGCCACAGATGCCCCAGTGGCACTCAGTCATGTAGGACCTGAGTTGAGCTCCTAGTTTCTGGTGGGCCCACATTTGTGTCATGGTGCAGCATATGTGGACTGGTCGTCTGGCTCTGTGATTAGGAATCTAACTTTTAGTTCGGTTCTAACCTTCAGCTCAGAAGCTGAGCCTCAGGTTGAGATTGATATTCCTTGTTGCCAAAACGTACTGTAGTTTGCTATGCTATCCAAACTACATGTAATTGATCCATTTCTAAGCTCATTCACATGATTCAGTGAATACAATTATTTCCAGGGCTGTTAGACCAAAGACCTCAAATCCCTATGTGGGCCTCTCCACAGGACAATGCACCACATGGCAGCTGACTTTCTTCCAAAAGAATGAGCCAGAGAGAGGGACCAAGAAAGAAGCCATAACCTTATGTAACCTAATGTCAAAGGAGACACAACATCATTTTTGACATATTCTATTTGTTAGAAGCAAGTCCCTAGGTGCAGCCCACAGGAAAGGAGATAATACCAGAGGATGAACCCTCAGAGGCAGGGATCATCCTAGAGAAAACTACCACACTGGGTAAATCACAATCTGTTTAAAATAAGGCAGAACTGTCTTCTTGATCTGACATCCTTAAAAATGGAAGTCCACCTCTGTGTTTCCTAGGGCACTTTGTTAAGTGCAGGTACATGGTCACATGCAGGTACAGGGTCACAATCTAAAATTGCAGAAATATTTGTGGTGTTTGCATTTCTGTTTGTTTCTATCACTTGCCCATTTACTCTCTGATGCTGCTGTATCTCACTGGAAACTACATTTCCCAGGTTTCCATGCTCTCAAGTTTCCAGTAGATCTGGCCAATGGGTGGCACTGATGGATGATGATGGTGGGGCAGAGTATTTCTCTTCTTCTTTGTTTCCTGGAGCTTCTCCAGCCTCCTTGGTACTTTGACTTTAGTCCTACCACAGAGCCTTTCTCCTGGTGGTCTCAGTTCCTGCCTTACCAGCCTGCGCTCTTCCTGCTTGACTCCAGCATCACCTCTCCCCTTTGTTCCTAGAGGACAGAGGTGGCAACTTTCTGCTGCAGCTCATCTGTGGGTTGCCCTCACCCCCTCTCTTGGGTTTCTCAACTCTTTCATCACCTGTTTATCTAATTACCTCTATTTAATTCCTTCTATATGAAATCCCTAGCGTGGACTATACTTGTACACTGACAAACAGTAGGATTGAATGAACATTGCCCTTTCCTGAGCAACTCATGTACAGAGAGCATGGTTTGGAGTGTTTGCTAGTCCTAAATGTCTGACCTGGTGCTCATGCTGCTGGAAATTTAGAGGATAGTCACTTCTTCAGGATGTACCTTCACCACTCTGGGCTAAAGTTTCTTGTTTTGTAAAATGGGAGGATTTGTGATATCTGTGGTCCCTTAAATCTCTGAATATTGGGGACTCTAGAATTTTTCCATAAGGAAAGCATAGGAACTGCATGCTGATTGGGAAATGGTAGAAGCATTTTATATGAGACTAGCATGGGACAGTGAGGCGGAATAGTAAAAAATAAGAAGAAAGGAAAGGAACAGAAAACCCAAAACCTTGAATTGTCCATATTCCAGAAGGTGAGTGCCACTGATGGACACTATGAAGAAAGCTAACATGAATCATGCCATGACTTCATAAAATAAGTACATTATCTCACAAATCGCTTCCTGTTTTATATTCCACTCCTTGCTTTCTACCTCACTCCCAAATCAAGGAAGCATGCTAAGGAATAAAGTTCCAGCTTGGGCAACATGGCAACACTCCGCCTCTACAAAAAATATGAAAATTATTTTGGTGGTGTTCACCTGTGATCCCATTTTCTCTGGAGGCTAAGTTGGGAGGATTACTTGAGCCCAAGGGGTGGAGGCTGCAGTGAGGCGAGATCATGCCACTACATCCAGCCTGGGCAATGGGAGTGAGACTCTGTATCACAAGGGAGAAAAAAGAATAAAGTTAACAAACAGGAAAATAACACTTTGTTGAACTTGGGATAACAATAATTTACAAAGAATGGTAGAATTCGTTACTAGAAAAATCTCAGGAAGAGAGGCAGCTATCTTAGCTCTAAGACCATGGGCAATTGACATCTTTGGGCATCATTTTGTCTTCTGAAAAATGGTTTTAAGAGTATAAGGGTTATTATAAGGACTACTTGTCAAGTGCTTAGAACAGTATCTAGCACATAGTATCTATTCTATAGTAAACTTCATGAATATATTCCAATAGTCTGAATTGTCAT